TATGGTGCGGGAAATTATAACTCGACAATCACGTGATTCTGTTTCAATTTTCTGGTGGCGATCCAAAGTCACGTTTATTTTAATCGACCAATAAAATTATCAAAATGATTGACTAACTATGCATATTACATTTGACTATCTAATTATTATGCTCCATAATTCTTTCAATACTTTCAGGTAATCGACGATGTGATTTAAACTTACTAACAGCCCACTCAGCGGTTCTACCCTCCAATCCCTTGTCATAAGCATCCATATACCTCCATGACTTGCGGGCAAACTTGCGAATGATGGTCGTAGGAACGCTAATGAGAACTTCCGGAATCCGTATCAATAAATCAGCATAACTATAATTGCAAAGCCGTCTGGTTTCTCGTTTCACATAACCCCAATATCGTTCTATGAAGTTACACTCGCAATGAAATTTTGGGTATCGTTCAAAAATATGTCCTCCTTCAGTAATTGCTTCTTCCAATATTGACTGTTGTTGAAGAAAATCTGATTGTAATGACATGATTCTTCGTGCACAACAATCCAATCTCTCCACATCAATGTCGTCATTTTTTCCAGAGCACTGTTCACACACCAAGCGGATATTCTTCGTTGGCCAAAGATTACGTTCTTGGAGTACTTGCTTGATGCCCTTGGGTTGTCCTTTTAGTTGATGATTATCCGGAAATATCATCGATTGTATATGTTTTTCTCCATATTCATCAATGTGCCAGCCATCACGCATCTTAGGCTGAGCTCCTCCAGGACTCAAATTCATTCTCGTTGCGATCAATGCATTTGCTGCCATCGCGTTGTGATTTGTTGATTGATCGAAGCAAAAGATACCAATGCATCCAGGATGCAATATCTCAAATATAGGAATTGCTTTACGAATGAGCTGCGTTATGAATAGGTATGTTATTTCAAAATCACAAAATGCAAATCAATTAGCAGAAAGAAGAAAAACCTAACCTGATCCAACATATGTTCTGACTTCCAATATCCATCTGTTTGTATAGAGCGAAGAACAAAAGATTCTTTATGTTCGATATGTGGATTTACTTGTAATTGCTCGTCAGACAACCTTAATAGCCCGTGACATGGACAAAGAAAAGCTGAAATCATAATGGAGCGACCCATGTGTTTCGAGCGTAAAATATCCTCGTCCTCTCTTATCCAGATTCTCCGTTGCCCATCATTTGCATAAAAGTGACATTCATCATGTGTCACTTGTACAAACTCTTTCTCTTTTGGATTGAGCTGGGGTTCCAATACAGTATCCAGCTCATCACCGTCAAATTCTTTCATATATTTTTTATATTCAAACATTCGCTTTAACCACTCCCTCCTATACATTACTACATCTAACCGCTCATGCCCATCATAGTAAACGCCCTTTCTTCTCTCATCATATTGATATCCCCATAAATGCATATAGTTTCGGCAGGTCTTCTCAGAGATAGTATCCTTTTTGATCTGCCCTGTCAATTTTGGAAATAATACTCCTTCAATATACATTTTTAAGCTTCCAGGAGATCGCGATTCTGGTGTTTGTTGTCGCAACCACGTTTGGCAACCTTCCGCAAAATCCTCATCATTTAACAAACCCTCCAATCTCATGTGCTTTCCTTGACGATGGACAAGAAGCTCTCCTGTTCGTATAAAATGGGCTCCCCACTTTCGAATACACCTCGCCATATAGTCACCTTTACCCCATATAGTTTGTGCAATCTGATTGCTGGCATCTATTTTGCCTTCTCCGTCTAACAACAACTGTATGAATCGGCGTATGCTTAGACGGCGCAAATAATCGTATGTAAAAATTTCACTATTTACTTTTGCTGATTTCGATATTGAGCATTGTTGATCGAGTAGTTCTAAGCGTATCTGTAAGTTTGTTATGGAGTCTGGTGTAATCATCGGAGATAATTGTGATGAGGATATATTAATTAATGCTTCAGCATCTGCAAAAAATGGATCAAATGTAGTCACCGGAGATGGTTGTAAGGAAGTATTAGCTGATGTTTCAGCACTTTTAAAATATGTATCAAGAGTTCTCATTTGCTTTGCATGTTGTTCTAACTTTTCTTTTTCTTTTTTTTGTCTCCAGGCCGTAGTTCTCGAAGATCCGGTGTACACTGCTCTGATGCTGCTCGCGGCTTGCTCATGCCAATTGAGAGCTTCATTGATAAGTCGCTTCCCCACTTCCTCAAACTCTCTCAGATCTTCTTCCGTCCACTCTTCAATGTCTTCGGTTGTTTCAAACTCTTTCAGATCTTCTTCCGTCCACTCTTCAATGTCTTCAGTTGTTTCAAGAACATTTCCTGTTTCTTCGTTGGTGGTCTCCTTAATGGTTCCTATCTCTTGTGTTTCGATAATTTCTTCTTCGTTGGTGGTTTCTCTGGATATAGCTAGCTCTTGAGGAAAATAACGACCTTTTTCTCTAGACAAGTTACTTACTTGTAGTTGCCTTTTTGTTTTACGTGGCATTGTTAATTTAAGAGTATATAATTACGATCAAGTGAGCTCTTAGTATTTTCCGTGATGCTTTTATCGGTTTGGATTATCGATTACTAACCCAATTTTCATTAAATTATTTTAATCGATAGGTTTTTAGAAACTGCTATGAGAGGCAAGGTATCAGAACTGCGAAGTCAAAACCAGATAATCGATAATTTAACAAATAGATGGGTTCTTTAATCTCTGTGAATTTGCACTATTCAAAGAGTATGTAATATTTATAAGATTTTTAGTTCTTTATTTACTTAACAAATAAATTTTAAATCACTAAAAAGAAATTGTTCGATAAATCTAGATATCAATGCTCTCTTTAATAATAATTTACGCGAGAAATTTGAAAAAAGTATTTGACCGGATCTACTTACTTCCCTATCACGGTCAAAAATAACTACGCGAGACATAAATATTGACGAATCTAGATATCAATGCTCTCGCTAACAATAATAAAGCATTTGACAGAATCATTTTGTTTGACAAATCTAGATATCAATGCTCTCGCTAACAATAATAAAAGCACTTGACAGAATCATTTTGTTTGACAAATCTAGATATCAATGCTCTCGCTAACAATAATAAAAGCATTTGACCGGATTTACTTACTTCCCCCACCCCTCCATCACTGTCAAAAATAACTACGCAGGACATAAACATAGAAATTTGATATTGCTCGAATGAAGCTGATGGTAGTAAACTGCAAGTGAAATAACAAATTGGGAGCACCTCTAAAGCCTTGTCCACCCGATAATCAGTCAGAAATACATGCCAATAAGAATGTATAAATTTTTTGATCAGCCCGGGAAAACAAAATCCAAACGCAAGTAAAAATTTGTGAAATAAATGAAAACCAATGTTTAAACTTATCTTACCTATCTTGAATTGTTTTAGGATTATGTTGACCAGCTAATGAAAAAGATTAAGGAAAGATTTGTATAGTTCTACCTTATGTAGCTCCGGAAGTGCTGAAAGAAGGTAAATATACTCAAGCTTCGACATTTATTCTTTTGGCATCTGATTTACCGCTTATGATGTATCTCATAATGTACATTTAGCCAGAAGCACTAAATAAAAATGTCGGAAGGCAATTTTACATATAATCACCCTCTAAAAATCAACCTTTAATTTAGACCTTCCAAATTAGGCAAATTGATGAATTTGGGCTTGCATTATGATAATTTTGCATTATCATAGTGCCGGCCCGAATTATAAATAAATGCCACCAATAAAATTGCTGTCATTATATTCACGTGATAAAAATATTCACGTGATTTGTTTCAAATTTGGGTTAAACATATAAAAAGTGACCAAGTTTAAATGCTTATAACTTTTTATATAGACAATATTTTAAAAATCTGACCGGTAACTTGATATATCTTATTATAAAGAATAATATTACCAGTCAGTTTTTAAAAATATTGCTTTTTTAGAAAGTTGAAAGATTTTAAAGTTATATGATTTTATTGTAGAGTTATAATTTCCCGCACCATA